AAGGCTGACCTGAAGGAGTGCTGCAGGAGCCCTTACAGCCAGACAGCTGGAGTTTGGAGAGTATCACTTCTGATACTTATAAGTTTTGATTTATATCTTGTCCCTGATGCTATTACTTAGTCTTATATGCCTGATAATTAGTGCTGATATTATTTATTCTTATGCACCACTTTATTTTTTCAGAGCTTAAGTGTGTCCTGTATCTGGCACAGCACAGCTTTGCTCTGAATTACTGCCAGAGCACATCAACAGTGGTGCCATATGCGCTCCATCTCCCACCCAAACTGTAGCTACAGTTTTTACTTCCATTTTTGATGCTTTTCAAGCTTTCTGCTTTGTCCTTTCCACCTCTACAGCTTGTTTGTGTTGGGAGGGGAAATGGGCTGAGTCCTTGGCCTGTAGCCTTTTTCCAGAGCTCTTCAGAGAACTTCTTCACAGTCCTCTGCAAACCTCTCAGACTACGTTAACTTGCAGAGTTGTCACAGACTTCTCTCTCTGCCAGAGACTGGAGTTAATCCAGGATCTGGAGAGGCATTGCAGGGTGTAGAAGGGAAGTGTCTGGCATCTGTTTTTGCTACACAGTTTATCAGTGGCCCAAGGGTAGGAGCTGTCACAGAAAAGCACGGCTGGGGCCTGTGATGAGAAGGTATGCTGGGTGTGTAATACCCATGTGAGTCAAGGTATTATTACACCTGGGAAAGACAGAGCCTCCAGACTGCAACCTCAGGTAGGAGGAAGCTTTTCCAAGCAGATGAAGGGATGTGTGTCAGGGAGTCCTTGGAGTGGTTATGGGCTGGAGCATGAATGTGTCAACACAACAGATGAAAGAGTTCGGCGAATGTGGACAGAGTAGCATAATTTAATCAGCAGGGAGAAATGATAAACATAAAAAGGTTGTGGAAAAGTAAACAAGGGCAGTGGAAACACTTTTTTGTGAATTTACATTTTTGGTTGCATTTCTCCATCTGAGGAAGCAGAGAGATGAGATTCTGACGGTCAGCCTCAGTCCAGTGCATGGTCCAGAGCACTGGCACAGCACAGAGCTGGCACCACTCCTGGGCTTACAGAGCTGCCCTGTGGCTTGGGCCTGCTTGAAAGGTGTGGAAGAAGGGAAGGGGTATTCTCACCTTCTCTTCCTTCAGTGAAAGTGTCAAAATGACTGTTGGGTACACGTGAGTAGCAAGGTGGATCAGGCAGCCATGTCAGGAAGTGATTGTCTGTGTTAGGGGCTTAGTCCTGGACTTGGGAGATGCTCAGTGTGTGAGGCTTCCTTGGGTCTGTGAGAAATTCCAGGTGTGGAGGAGGAAGTGGAAAGGAATATAACTGCTGGCTACTGTTATAAAGAAAAGTGTATTTGCAGAATATTTCCATTGTGGTAATATATGTAACTGAACATGGCTTTAACACCAACAGACAGTTGCTGACTTGTATTAAGCAACAATCCGTGGTCGTCTGAAAGAGGCACATCCAGCACTAACATCCACACTGGTGGCACTCCCTGCAGCCAGGGCAATGTCCATTCACTGTCCAACAGTGGACAGTGTGTCTTTCTCAGAACATGCTAATTATGTTGTGATAAGATATGAGTATAGTCTGGGCTTGCACTTATTTGTTAGTTGGCCAACCCAGAAATTGCTAGCAGACATTCTCTGTATCTGAAGGACAGTAAAGGTTCTTGTTAAATCATTTTCTTTTTGACATGTACCTAAACCATGTTCACAAGCAGTCTCCAAAATTCAGCTGAATCACAGTTATGTCTAAAATTCCTGTGCCTCAGCTCTTAGTCTGAGCTTGTGTCTCCACAACAAGGAAAAGTTTCTGTGTGCTGTCATGAGAAAATGATTTTGGAAAGAAAATAGCCCAGAGGAAGATAAATCAACTTTGGGAAAGAAGCGATGCCATATTTTGCCTGCAACATGATAAAAGATTTCTTCAAAAGAAATTTGTGATTAAGAATGTCTCAGTAAGATTGTATAACCTCATACTACTACCTTCATGTGGAGAAGATCAAACACTGAAGGATTTTTTAATCTAGTCAATAAAAGACAAAGGGAGAACCAAAATCTTGGAAAATTCTTAGTAGATTGTCCATGTTTTGATATTAATTGAAATTGGGTCATTTTCTACTAATTGTTCTCTAATTTTGCTTTGGCAGAGTGCAAATTATTAGGATGAGGCCAGCCTAATGGGATGATGTGCACAATTCCAGCAGTGCTTCCCCTCTGAAGTGTGAGGTTTATGCTCCCTGTTAGTGTGTGGCTCAAGCAATGAGTTGGTTTCTTGTGCATATGGGTAATATAAGAAGTGTTTTACAGTAGAACAACAGCTAGAACATTATGCAGCATTCCTGTAAAACTGCACAGAGCAAATGAAAAAGGCCACTCTCCAAACCAGTTCTCTGGATTACCAAAAATGCCCTAGAGTATTAAAAGTTAAAATATTTAGAAAATCTATCTTCTTTGACTATTCTGCTGCTTTACTTTCTGTGCTTCACACACCTTAAAGAAAATAAATCATCTGACCTGACTGCTTATTTCTCATAAACAAGAACAGTGGGATAACGTGTGGGTTGCACATTTGGAAAGGAAAAACTGGAGCGGACTTGGTTTCCCAGGGTAGAGTTTTCTTTTTTAGTTTACTAAACATGCCTCTCATGAATAACATTCTTTAAAAGAATCTGAACCCTATTTTAGAGATTTAAGCTGGGGATGTCCCTTACATCCACCATCTCAGAATTTTACCTTACAGAATGTGAAAACCTCACACTGCAGTGAAAGGTGTGTCCTTTCTAAATACTAGTATTTCCAGCTACGGAAGAGACTCGGGGACTCTGTACAAGCGGGAGTTTGGTAACAGCGTGTGGGAGTCCCGCTGCCCTCTGCGGGAGCAGCACCCGGGAGGGAGGTCGGGCAGGAGGAGGTTCTAGGGACTGAAAGTTCAGAGGGAGTGTTTCACGGGGATGAGATGTCTCACGGGGAAAGACTTTCTGAGGCTGAATTTGAAAAAGTGTGTGCAGAGTCTGAAAATGCAGAGGCTGAGGTGCTGACGAGGGCGATGGTGTGATTGTCAGGCGGCGCTGGCAGGGCAGAGCAGGGTGCCAAAGCAGGACACCCCGCACCACGTTCCACTGCTGCCTTGCCACAGCCGGCTCCCGGGAAAGCTCTGGAAGAGAGACCAGTGTCCTGGGCCGGAGCCTGAAGTCTCTCCCAGCGTGGGAATAGCACGCAAAGAGGATGCAGGGGCTGATTTACGTCACAGCACCGTGCGTAAAACAACAAGTTACAAAAGGGCATTTTATAGAAAGGAAAAAAAATACCAACTGAGCATCAGAAGAATGTTTGTCTTCCTACTTTTAGCTTAGCGTGGCTCTTATTTTAGTTGCACAGCTAAGATGACTGAATTTGTAGTAGCTGAAAATGCCAGAGTCATTAAAATGATCTTGAGAAAGTGCTGGGAGCCTGTACCATGTTCCACAGCTCTTCCGAAACACACCGCTGTGCTCGCCACGGCAGACGCTCGAGACCAAAGTATGAGGCAATGTGTTTTTATATAGCACTGGTTTTTTATATAGCACCGTTGCCTGCTATATAAAAAAAAATAAATTAGAGAAATGCATCATTTTACAAGAACCCTGTGTCAGGCAACATATGTCATAAAACCATGCTGTGATTCTTAGATCTTAAAGGAAATGTCAATTAAAAACAAGCCAACAGATTATTTGTAGTAAAAGACAACCATTTGTTCTTCTTCAGCCTCTCTGTCCCCTTATTATCACTTTTCTTACTCAGCAAACTTCAAAGGTTAATCATAGACAGGGACAAACGGGTTCCTTTTGGCCTTGGAATAATCCACAACTAAAAATGCTCATGAAGGTTATTCCGGTGGAGGTCTGATGCCACCTAAAGTCTCCACCAAGTCTTGCAGTAGAAGAAAGCTGCACCTATCCCCAGCATTCTTAAGCAGTAACAGCTCTGAAGTTATTATTTATAGTTCTTTGTGGCTACATTAAGCACAGCAGAAGTTTGCAGTGTGAGAAAATTAGTTCAGTCAAGCTAGGCTGGGTAATAATCCAAACTTCTGTCATCTCAGCCTGTGAGAAGCAGACATTGTAACTCAGTCCAAACTCAAAGCTCTGATCGGGAGAGGCTGTCTTTTATTTCCCTGATGCTAAAACTAACTTGGTAATGACATTCCATTATTTTTAACATTTGGAAACCATGTCACTGTAAAAGGGAATCAGATTCAGTAGATGGAAAGACAACACGTGCAAGACATTTTCCATGACAATTTCAAGCCTTAATGTTCAGTGGTTACCAAGGTGTATTTTAGAGTATTCTGCTGATCAAGATCAATATCTATATCACTGAAGTTGGTTAAAAAGCCTGTTAAGATGTATCATAATAAAAATATGCTGTTGCCACAAAGATATACAAACTTTGAGATATGTGTTGTTTCTGCCAGATTTCCTTTGGAATAAGTATTGATAGGGGTTTCTTGCATTTGATTTAGTAGGGTTTTTCTTTAGGATTTTTTTTCAATTTTATTTTATTTCTCATTTTCCCTTATTCATGCATTAGTGCTCAACATAAGAACATCACTAGAATGCATTTTAACTACTGACATGGTTATAACAGCCAAGATCTGAAGTTGCTTTTGGATTTTAAGTATAATTCAAAGTGGCTGCTGTTGAGTGTTGTTGGGAACACTGAACCTTGTCTTCTAGATCAAAGCATCTCCTGACTGCTATAATGAAGCAAATGGATTCTGATTTTTCTACCTTTAGTTTGAAGTCTCTTAGAGGTGATTAGGAGAGGAACTACCACACTGCACAGTGCAGAGGTGGTAGGGACTGGAAGGGGTCTGGGGCTGTCTGAAGTCAGAAGGGACAGAAGGGCAGCCACTTGGGCACTTGTATTTCAAAACACTGAGTTTATCAGCAAGTGGTAGCTGTTCTGAACTAAGAAGAACCTCTGCAAACCTGTTTGTTCTTCTTTCTCCAGCACCCTGTCGAGCTGCTCACATGCCGTGGTGGCCCTTCTCTACCCCTTCTCCTGGCAGCACACCTTCATTCCTGTTCTGCCCTCATCCATGATTGACATCGTGTGCTGCCCTACCCCCTTCCTGGTGGGACTGCTCTCCAGCTCTCTGCCCAAACTCAAGGACCTGCCTGTAGAGGAGGTAGGAGCTGGCACCAGAATTGTTTGCCCTGAGTAAAGCTGGCCTCACCCTTGAGAAGGTCTGCCATTCACACATAAATCTTCACATGTTTAATTTTTAACCTGCCTCTTTGTTTCTTCTCTGCCTAATTCTCATGGGCAACTGCCTCTTGGTAAAATGCAGTAGTAGGTTTACTCTCCTCTCTATTCTGCCCCTCTTCCTGTACCTGACACCTTGATAGAGAAAAGTGAATGTTTACCTGGTTAACAAGTAAGTGGGGTGTTAATATGCTAGATTGTTCTGGAAGAAGAGGAAGCTATCTGCTATGACACTGCTTAATGGTGATCGAAGCTGTGCATGAAGCCATAGCTCACACAGAAAACAAAACCTTTCAATATTTTTTTTCATTTAACTTCTAAGACTTCATTAATACTATACTGAAAGTCAAATGAGAATTGCATTTCATCAGCTCTTTCAGTAAAATACCACAAAAACACCCAATGGCACACTCTTCTCTCTTACTCCTACTAGTTTTCTGTCATTTTTCTAAGAAATTTTCTTGTGCTCACTTCTGAGGTTCTGTGTTCTTCTGACCCATGTAAATCTCTGCTCCATTTTCCTCCCACTTTCCTAACTTTGCTCTCCCACATCTTCCCAACTCCATCTCTAGCTTTGCTGCTTCATTATCACGAATATTTCACACCCTTGCTTCAGAAGCCCTACTGCCTCCAATGACACTGTTTTCTGAAATACTTTTCAATGGCATGTTAACTAAAATTATTACTTGCTTAGATTTTAAAAAAGAGCTTTTTTTACATATTAACCTAGCATGATATCTGTTGTATCTAACTATGCTAAATTAGACTTTTAGCTCTGTAGTAAACTTCCATACTCCGATTTTATAAAGCATACGACCTCTTGTTTCACAGTAGGAATTTGATTCATGTTGAAGCTTGACACTGTTTAGTGGTCTTTTGCTATTAAAAGGTCATGACTGTTTTCTGTCTCCTCAGATATATTTCACTACAGCATTTTCTTTTCTTTAGGCTTTGATGGTTAACCTGGGATCTGATCGATTCATCAGACAGGTAAAGTACAGCTTGAAATGTTGCCATGCAGTCTAGCAAGCTGTTTACTGCTATAGTGTGATTAGGTCTCTCTTTGATCACAGATATTTGGAAGGAATTGTGTGTACCAAGGGAAAGTGATTAGGAAAAAAAAAAAAAGTGTTCATTTTCTGTTTCACCTGCAAATAAGTACCTCTCAGGTATGCAAAAGGGACTTAGGCTATGACTGTCAGAAGGGATCAAGACCTGTATTAACACTGGAAAGAAAACATCCAAAGATAACAACTCCACCTTAGCAAGAAAACTCACTCTGTTGGGAGGTGAGAAGCACAAAAATTGCAGAGAGTTTTCTGGGTGAGAGAGGAAAGTAAAGAATAATTTATTGTGATGGGAAAAGCAGAAGCCTTGTAAAACAGGGAGATAAAGGATCACAATCATCTGATAGTCATGTGGCGCTAAATAATTTTAAGAACAACAACCTGCAGGTTAGATGAGTAAACTTTCTTGTATGACTCCCTGGACGATTTGGCTGGTGAATAGCAGCTGCTCAGCTAAGATTCTTGTGTTGACTTGCTTCTGCTGAACAAGCATTAAATAAAACGAAGAGACCAACACAGGGAAAACCCAGAAAACGAGATATACTACAATATAGTAAAAACAACTGTCAAGAAGCAAAGAAGCTGCCTAAACTAGAGCAGCTGTGTGTACACGTAGCAAGGCTTCACATGATGTGTATTTAGTTAAACACAATTATTTGGACTCTTTGTCACGCAAAGAGCCGATTCCAAGATTCTGTATGTTTACCTTCTCTTTGGATTATCATTTCTGACTTTAATCTCATTAAGAGTGACAGGAAATTATGTGTAGAAGTATATGTTATTTGCACAAAAAAGCTTTTCATTGTTTATGTAGCCATGACAGTAGCAGATACAAATATTTTTTCACCTGAGTTTTAAACCTTCTGAAAGTATTTGCTGTAGTTTCTGCATAGATTAACGTGACCTAAACATTTTCTTTTTTCCTCTATCAGATGGATGATGAAGACACACTATTACCTAGAAAATTGCAAGCTGCTCTGGAGCAGGCTCTAGAGAGAAAGAATGAACTGATAAATCAGGATTCAGATAGTGATTCAGATGACGGTAAGTTTATTTGGAAACAGGGACTTGTATGACAAGACATATAGGTAGAATTGTGACTTTCCATCCAGGAGAAAGAAAGATGGGACTTGAGTTCTCATATACCTTTTGTCACATCAAAGATAGTGAGCACACAGCGAATGAGACTGAAAGCATCAACCCACAGTAATACCACATCAGCAATCTATCTTAATTCCTTGTAAATGACACGGGCTCTCATCGATCCCTCTGAATCTTTGCTCATACAGAGGTTTGCAGCTGACTTGGCCTTAGTTCAATCCAGATAATTCTACAGGCTTAGGGATGTGTCTGAGTTTGGAGTTAGTCTTGGCAGTTGGTATTTTCAGCAGAGAGAAACAGCTACCACCAGAAAATAGTTTCAGTGCAAGATGGGTTGAGTTGCCTCTGAAGGTTCGTATTTCTCTCCAGCAATGATAAAAACAGCTCAGGTTGAATTTAAATGCCAGTGGTTAAAAGGTATGAAGGAGGCCCCTATTCAGTTTTTGAAATTTATTTCTACTCATCTGTATTACACATGTAAAACTGTTTTAACATCTCAGAAATTATGAAAACACAAATTCTACAACATGCCCTTTTTGATCAGTTCTTGGTATTATTATCCACAGGGATGGAACACACATAAAATGCTTAATTTTCTGAGTTTTTTCCCAAGGATTTGTAATTCTCATTGACTGTTGGTTATGGAACACCAATTATGCACAGTGGCCCTTGTGGTTATGAAGTTGTTGCTCTCTCTGATGTGCACCAGGTGTGCAGGCAGCCTCCGGCACAACTCCTGTCAGTTGTTAGCACAGCATCAATAAAGCGAGAGATGCAGTACTGGCCCTATGGGAATAATGCTGACAGCTCTGGTAGCAGCTGATTTTGGTGTCTTATTGCCGCCTTATTTTGCAGAATGTAACACCCTGAATGGATTAGTGTCTGAGGTTTTTATCCGATTCTTTGTGGAGACAGTTGGCCATTATTCCCTGTTCCTAACCCAGAATGAAAAAGGAGAGCGTGCCTTCCAAAGGGAGGCTTTCCGTAAATCTGTGGCCTCCAAGAGCATCCGTCGCTTCTTGGAAGTTTTCATGGAATCCCAAATGTTTACTGGCTTCATCCAGGACAGGGAGCTGAGGAAATGCAGGGCAAAAGGTAAGGGCGTGTTTCTCCCCCGCGGCGCGGCTTATGCGTTCTGCCGGGCTCCCGCAGCGAGCAACACCTCCTACGCCCCTGCGCTCGCTGGGAAAACGGAAACGCATCCCTAAAATAATGCCGGGCTAACCGGAAGGTCGATGTAAGCGGAGGCTGCCGGAGGCAGAACCCGCACGGCCGGGAGCTGCATCGTGGGTACCGCGGAACCCGGGACTGCGGGATGCGGGCACAGCTCACCCCGGCGCCCCTGTCTCCCCTCTGCCGCAGGTCTCTTCGAGCAGAGGGTTGAACAGTATTTGGAAGAGCTTCCAGACACGGAACAAAGTGGAGTAAACAAGTTCCTGCGAGGCCTTGGTGAGGGAAATATTTAGAAGTGCTTCTGAAATTAATTTTCGTGCTTGTGGTTATTTTGTTGTTGTTGTTGTTGTTTTGGTTTTTAAACTTTAAAAAAATCTTACCTGGGGTAAAACCAGATAGTCAGGCAGCTGCAATGTGATAGGAAATATTAAAAGGAAAACACTGGAAACATAGTTAAAGCTGACAAAACCAGATTTAATTCTGAGCCTTGTGAACACTTTCAGTTTCATTTGGGGGTGGGGGAACCAAACCATAATGGAACAAGAAAATGTCTGACCACTCAGCACTCTGTTAGTTGGCTGTCCCTGCTGGTGTTGATTAAAAGAGTTGCCTTACAGCAATTACATTAGAAGTTAGACCCGTCTGCTAAGTCACTTTTGATTACCCCTGGCTTTTCAGTATCTGTGAGACACTCACGGTGTGCTTTCTTCAGGGAACAAAATGAAGTTTCTTCACAAGAAGAACTAATTCCTTTCTGCTGAAATACCAACCCAAAGACTATTTATGACACTGCGTGAGACACCTGCGGCGTTCCAGAGTTCGGAGCAGGAGGAGAGCAGAATGAGCTCTGAGTGATGAGTGATGCTGTTGACAGTGTGCCACGTGATGGCTCCTTTATGTATTTGGATAGAATTTGTACATAATGTGCTGTAAGCTTTTTGTAACTGATTTTGTAATGAGCAAGAAAACTGTGGTAAATATTTGTATATTCCTGAGAATAACAGGTGCTTTTTTTTGTTTCTTTAGTATGAATTGAGTTATGCTTGGTGCAAAAATGAATAGCTGATTTATGTGCAGCTGACTGTCTCAGCAGAACCACTGACTTCAAGGGATGTTTGTGAGAGAGCGACACTGATGCCTGAATACTGTGGGGTGAATGAGCTCGGGTACGTGGGAGAGGTTGTACGAACGGGGGCCGCTTTTCACGCGGCACAGTTGCTTGTTTGGTTGGTTTTTCCCCTCTAATTAATTTTAAAGAAATAACAAAGCAACTTGATAATAAGGTACTTGGTTCACAATGCAAAACTTCCACTTGGTTTGAACTCTGGTCAGTAAACTCTTTGTAATCCATTCTGCACTAAGACTGCTACACCTGAGGAGATCTCAGCTCTTTGACATACAAGCTGCAGCGAGTAGGTACAGTACATCCTTTCCTAATGTATGTATGTATGGTTTCTAATAAACTCTGTAAATATCCCTGTTTGTTTATATTCTTTACAAACCTCTGCAGTTTCTGATGTTGAGCAGGTACAAACCCAGTAACTTTCCTGTGATTTTTTAAATGAATTTGTAATTAAAATGGTTATTACGAACCTGTCTTTTGGTAGGTTTGCTATTTCGTGACGCGTAGTTTGGGTTTTCATCAATGCTTCTCACTGGTGCTAAGACCAGGTGTTTTATATCCCTGTTTTGTTAATTTTATCCTAACAGAAGCATCTCTTAAAACATTTTTTCATGGGGTAGCAGCAAATTCTTTTGTCCTTGTATCATAGATACTCCTGAACTGCAGTATTTTCAGGTTGCTTTTGTGCTACCTTGGGTAGATGATCAGAGTAGAATACAAGCAGCTTATAGCAAGCAGCCTTTGCCTGAATTCCTGATGAGGTGATCACCTACATTTCATGAGAGACTGCTTTTCTTTGACATTAATTGCAGTGTGTTTAGGTGGTGTCTCCATGTCAGTGAAGACAGGACAGGAATGGTTCAGCTTGCTGTGGCTCCTACACGTCTGTCAACGCTGCTTAACTACCATATTCATCCTTGATCTGATTACAGAACTGTTGAGGTTCTGTAAGTTTTCCTGTAGTTTGAGGAAGATAATATAAAATGCTTGAATATGTTTGCAAGTCTGACAGATGATGAAAATTAGGTAAAGCTTCTTACCTTTAAAGAAAACAGGCCATGCTGTGTTTTTCTTCATTTGCAGCATGATTTCTGTAGTTAAGACTGGCTTTGAGGCTTGCGCAATTCCGAACCTGTCAGTGGTTCTGGTTTGCTATCAGCCTCATAGAACAAAATCGAGGGATTATTCACTAAAAAGGTGAAGTCATTTCCTTTTTTAAATTATATCCCTCACATTCCTGTGTATACGAAAGCTGGGCATGAAATGTCTGTAAAATATCGTGTGCTTTTGATTCAATGGAAATGTCATCACAACTGATAATTTCCATTAGTTTTACTCCATAATATGCTTTAAGTTCCAGAATGACTCCTAGATGTAATTCTTTGGAGTAGAAGGAATAATGTCACTTGTACAGGTGGCTTCTGGCCTTTTTATAAACAACAGCAGCTAGTAAATATAGGGGGAAATACATACTCCTTTTCTTATGATGGATAAAACATCACCAGGACATGCTGCAGAGTTGCTACAAAAGCAAGACAAAGCTGCAGAATGCTGATGTACAAACCTGTGATAATGTTAAACCCATCTCCCACACCAAAGCTGTTTTCCTCCATCTGCACTTCAAAAATTAAAGGAGAAAGGTTTTAAACATTGTATGATCCATCAACATGTTGCTCCTGCTTTTGTAATGTGAATCAGAGGATAGAAATGGACAAGGTGAGATCACGTTTCAAAAAATCTGTAGATCTTCTTGACCCTCAGACTATGGCTATATAAAACAATCCTTGCGTTATCTGGAGGTCTGTGTCTGAAACGGAAGGATGAATGAAAAATGAGTGTTCTCTTCTAAATTAGTTGCTAAAACTAATGGGTTTCCTCAAGATGGAACATTACAAGTGCACCACTTAACTGAGAAGGAAATTCTGAAAAAAACCCAAATCTGAGACCTGTGTTTAAATTGGTAAAGATCTGTTTAGAATCTTACAATACAAAATCCATTAAAAAACCCCCAAAAATCCAAGCTTTATCATAGAATATTTAAGAGATGGAGGCGACCCAAAAGGATCATCGAGTCCAACTCTTAGGGGAATGGCCCATACAGGGTTCGAGCACACAACCTTGGTGTTATTAGCACTGTGCTGCTCTAGCCAAGTAGAGCTAAGAACAGGAATGCTCCTCAGCCATCACCGGCACTCTAGTGTGGCACATAATTGTGTGTAAGCATAGAGTGTTTATTCTCCCGTTGTTACGGGTGTTTAATAAAGTGACCCAGCTTGCAAACGCTCCAGGATTCTGCTCCAAATGCCGCCTTTGCTGCGGATGGCACGGCAGCTCCCACAGCGGGACCGACACTGCTCCCGCCCTCCGAACCCCGCCACCACCCCCTCAGCCAAGTCTCGCGAGAGCTCGGCCTCGCCCGCCCGCCCCCCGCGCCTTTCCCCGCTCTCGCGAGAGCCGCGCCCTTTCTCTCCCTCGCGCACGCCGACAAGATGGTGGGAGCTGCTGCCTGGACGGGATGGGATGGGATGGGGTGGGATAGGGTGGGATAGGGTGGAATGGGGGGCTCCGCGGCCGTCGCTCCCGCGGAGGGACAGGGCTGAGGAGTACTGGAGGGTGGCGAGGAGGCGCGTTTCCGAGCCCGCGGCGGGGCCGAGCGGTGCGGGGAGGCCGGCCCTCCATGGCGCCCGGCTGCGCGCCCGCCCTGGGGCTGCGGGCGGCGGGCGGTTCTGCTGCCTCTCGCTGCCCGCCGCGCTCACAGCTTCTCTCCCGCTTTCCCGCAGCCTTCCAGGCTAAGGAAGACCCGGAAGCTGAGAGGGCACGTCAGCCACGGGCACGGCCGCGTGGGTGAGTGGAGGGGCGGCTCGGCGGGAGCGGCCCTGTGGGCTCGGGGCTCCCCGGCGCTGAGGGGAGGCTGCTGTGCCGCGCGGGTCGCAGGAAAGGGCGGCCGTGGGTGCAGGGGCCCGCTGGGCTGTGGGAAGTAGCGAGCAGGTCTGAAGGCCGCGGCGTGCGGGGGTCGGTGCCGCAGTGATGGGGCGATCAGAAGTCGTGCACGTTTGTAACTTCAGTAGTGCTCAGGGAGATCAGTTCTGGTCGTGTGATGTCGTAGCATTACAGGGTAGTGCTGTTTGCCTTCTGATTCTTTGACCATTCACGCCTTGTTGCTCAACAAGGTAGAATAATTAATTAAATTAGTTTAAGTTCAAATTGACACTAAACGTACCTGTAAGCTCAAGTATTATATGTAACATTAGTGTAACAAACGTTAATTTTTCTTTTTAGGCAAACACAGGAAGCATCCAGGAGGACGTGGTAATGCTGGTGGTATGCACCATCACAGGATTAACTTCGATAAATAGTAAGTGAAAGTAAATGAATACTAGCAACATGTGTGTTCCTGAAGTAGATCCAACTAACTTTTATGTGTGAATAAACAAAATTCCCTGCAATCCTGTGTGTTTTTTACCCTTGATGGGAAGTGTGGCATTTTAGCTACAGTCAATTCATGTCCCCACTTATCCTAAAATCAAAGGCTTTTTCACTTAAACAAGGTGTCTTTTAAGAGTTCAGTGCCACATTTGGTAAATTTGATCAGACTTGCTTGTTAACAGCATGGTTAACAATGCACACACAATAAACTCTAAATGTTAAATCCAAACTTAATCCTGTAGGGTGAGGGGTGTTGTCCTTGCTCATGGCCGAGACTATAGAGTCACATCTGGGCACTGCCTGTTGTCCTGGTGTGCTGGAGTCCTCGGACAGTAACCACTAATCTATTCACTGGCTGTGCCCACTCCTGTCTCAGTCAGTCACCAGGTTAGTGACAGGAGTGCTGAAACTCCACAGGCCGTGCAGCCTTCCCAGAGTTCGTGGAATTGGGGTTCCCTTGAAATGCAGACCCCAGTGAGAGGGATGAAGCTGTGAGTTTAAGGGAGATGAAACACTTAAAGAGGAAGTAATTTTTCCTTGATGTCATTACTAATAATTATTACACCTAAATATTACACATACTAGTATGAAAAAAATATAATGTGAAATTTCACTTGCTTTGATCAAGTAAGGTACTTGTTTGAGTGTTAATTTTGTAGTTCTACTTGTTCAGGATGAATTAAAAATGGGATCTAATGCAGAATGTGTTTCTTTCCCAGTCACCCTGGTTACTTTGGAAAAGTAGGCATGAGACACTATCACTTGAAGAGAAACCAAAAGTTCTGTCCTACTGTCAACCTGGATAAACTGTGGACGCTTGTCAGTGAACAGACCAGGCTCAATTATGCCAAAAACGAGGCTGGTCTGGCCCCGGTCATCGATGTGGTGCGCTCGGTGAGTTCCTGTTCAGTCAGCCCTGTGATTTCTGATCTCTTCATGTGTGACTGAGCTTTGCCTTTCCGAGTGGGGAAATGGTGAACTGCAGTTAAGTTCCAGTGCTTAAGCACTTGTGAGCTTCTTCAGACAGGTACCTTTGCATATAAGTAGTTACAGAGGCTCTTACAGTGTTACATTTTTTCCTGTAGGAACTTCCACTCGTAACTCTGTGTGATTGTGACCGTGGAGTTCCCTCCTTTGGGTAGATGGTGAAAGATTTCTTGTTTAAAATGTTACTGAAAGCGTGTGCAAAAACCTGGCAGAACTGGTTGCATTCTCATAACATCACTTTTCCGATATCGAGACTAGAGTCACATCTCCACACGTCTGGTTGTCTTGGTGTGCTATAGTTCTCGGACATAAACACCTGATCCTTATTCACTGGCTGCGATGTCCTGTATCCCAGCCAGCCACCGAATCAGGAACACTCAACTGCTCTGCCAGGTGGGGCTGTTCTACCTGTCACATGGAGATACCCGTGTTGGTCAGTTGGGCTGCCACTTCTAACCAGCAATGATTTCAGCAGCTGTTTTGTTAATGGACTTCATGCCGTGATTGCCCTGTTAGTGTAAGGGGCAGGAATGACATGAGGGAATTCCAGTGTTAGGGAGCAGCTATGGCTGCGAAAGCTTGAAAAAGCTTCAGCTGTGCATTTCAGGCATGCAGAAGAGCCCTCTGCTCTGCTCAGAAGTACCAGGGTGTCTGACAGATAGCATTGACTGGCAGTCATTTCATGGTAGGTAGTGTTGGAAGTGCAGCCAGAAAAATGTGGAAAGGTTGTTTACTTCAGAGTGGTTTTTTTATATGGAATACTTGAGTACATCATCCAGCTTCTAAATCACAGGAAAATTTCAGTTTAGAGTTTGTACTTTCTCTCAGAACAACTGCAACCCCACTAACTCATGCAGGGCATCTTTCTGTAGGTACTGAGTTGTCTGGATGAAGTCACGGTGATCACAGTTTTAGTTTTAACTGTGTTGAAAACCAGATCTGAATGTAGAAGCCTGCAAGCTGATTACAAATGCTGAACTTCTTTTTTAAATCTTTCTAGGGCTACTACAAAGTCCTGGGCAAGGGGAAGCTGCCCAAGCAGCCTGTAATTGTGAAAGCAAAGTTCTTCAGTAGAAGAGCAGAGGAGAAGATCAAAGAAGTTGGTGGTGCCTGTGTGCTTGTGGCATAAAAGTTTTTGTTTTATTCAAATTTTTTGAATAAAAACAATGGGTAAAATGAATTGATATACAGAAGCCTGTTTTGTGTTTTCTTTTTCTGATGTGTCCAGACAGTGTTCACACTTGAGTCTTACCTGCTTCGTTATTTCTGGTTCTTTTTGATCAGTGGTTTGACTGTTTCTCTCTTTATTTTGAAACTGCCTGACTGCAATGTTCAGTGTGTGGTATGTACAAATACCTCATCTTTTTGTCTTTACAGGGTAGCAAAATAGATTCTGTATTTTTGCTGCTCTGGTTGGTGATCCTCTTTACAGCTGTCTGTGAAAAGCAGACTTTGTATTTGGCAGTAATTAAGTTTAGAAGGCTTTTAGGGTAAAGTTGACATGCATTTCTTTTATAAAACAGTTCCTCTTAGCCAGTGGTACTGCTCGTTGTGAAGAACTGTAACTTAAATGAACAGTTTTTAAAATACTAAGGTAAGAATATGTGAACTGTCTCTCATTGACTGCTGGGACCACTATTTCCTAATGCTTTTCATCCCCTGCCAAAGCAAAAAACTTCCAGTCCTCAAAGGTGAGTGGAGTGGTTCAGCAAACTAAGGAGTGCTGTTACTCCCTGATGTTGGTCACCTGGTCCCTGACCAGATCAGAGGTGAAGAAAAGTTCACTCAGCACTGACGTGCCCCATGCACACATGACAACAGGCAGGTGACACCAGCTCACTTACATGCATAGTAGATACCACTCTCAATTCTTTGATATTTAATGTCTTAAAATTATGTCTTGCAATATTTTGTCATGCCAAATGTTCTTTGTGAGAGGCATGCCAGCCCCACTAGCTCTGGTCTCTGCCCCACTGCAGACCAGCTGGGATTTAGGGTGGACTTGGGGTTTTGCACAGCTGAGCCTTCTCCCTGTCACATCTACACTGAGGCCAAGGCAGGACTTCTCTTTCCTTGGTGGCTGCCTGTGCCTTGTGCCTGCTTCTGCCATAGCTGCCTGGAGGACAAATTCAAACCTGGGGTTTGAGGCTGAGCTGTTTAATCTGTCAAGCAGGAGTAGCTGCCAGAGGGGCCATGCTGGGGAAGGAGGTGATGTGCTGGAGGAGGCTGTCTGTCACTGCTGTAGGGTGCATGCTGTCCCCTCAGACTGCCCTGCTCCAGAGACAAAACTAGTGAAATTGCTCTTAATAACATTTCAAAGTGCTGTAATGAGCCTTCTGTAGCAACGTCCACTTTTGATGGACGGAAGAAGATGCAATAAAAAAATCTGATTAAATTGGAGAAAAATAATCACAAGAAATTGAAAGACTTTTGTAGAGAGTTCATCCCTCAAACATAGAAATTGTAAAGTTATGAGAGTGTACCATTACAAAATTCTCTTGTTTGAAATGCATTAATGCTTTGCTGGAAATTCCAGTCCTGAGATACCTGTGTGGTTGCCATCAATTTTTGGTGGGGTGGTTGTTGCCTTCCCGAGGCCATGACTGACCTTTTTGATCCCAAGGCAGCCCCAGTGCATTGCCTTTCCTTACCCTCCTCTGGGGTGACATATGCAAAGCACTTTGTTTCCCATTCCGGTTGTGACTGCCTGCCAGGTGCCTCCCCCGTTCTCCTGGTCTTCGTCTATTTCTATCCTGTGTCCTGCCTCGTTATTCTCACCGTACATCTCCAAATGTAATGAAGTTTATTTTCTTTGTAGTCACTGCAGCTGGACTTGGTGTTTCCCATCATTGTAGCCAAGTCACTGCTAATTATAGACCTGTAGAATAATTTGGGTTGGAAAAGACATCTGAGATCGAGTCCAACTGTTAACCCAGCACTGACAGATCCACCAATAACCATGTCCCTAAATGCCACATCTACACAGCTTTTAAATACTTTCAGGGATGGTGACTTCACCACTGCCCTGAGTGGCGTGTTACAATGTCTGACAACCCTTTCAGTGAAGAAATGTTTCCAAATATCTCATCTAAACCTCCCCTTGCACAACTTGAGGCTGTATCCTCTTGTGCTATCTCTTGCTGGGAGAAGAGGCCGACCCCCACCTTGCTACAACCTCCTTTCAGGTAGCTGTAGAAAGTGATAAGGTCTCCCCTGAGCCGTCCCCAGCTCCCTCATCTCCTTATCAGACTTGTGCTCCAGACCCTTCCCCAACTCTATTGGCTTTTTCTGGACTTGTTCTAGAACCTCAATATTTTTCTTGTAGTGAGGGGCCCAGAACTGGACATGTGTTTGAAGTGTGGCATCAGCAGTGCTGAGTACAGGGGGACAGTCACTTCCCTAGTCATTCTGGCCACTCTGTTTCTGGTCCAAGCCAGGATGTCATTGGCCTTCTTGGCCACCTGGGTACACTGCTGGATCATGTTCTGCTGCTGTCAAACAGCACCTCCAGGTCTTTTTCCACTTGGCCCCTTTCCAGCCACCCTGCCCCCAGCCTGTAGTTCTGCCTGGGGTTGTTGTGACCCAAGAACAGGACCCAGCACCTGGCCTTGTTGAACCTCAGGGTCTCAGCCCATTGATTCAGCTCGTCCAGATCCCTCTGTGGAGCCTTCCTGCCCTCCAGCTTATCAGCACTCCCACCCAGCTTGGTATCATCTGCAAACTGACTGAGGGTACCCTCAATCCCCTTGTCTAAATCATTGATAAAGAGCTTAAACAGAACTGGCCCCAATACTGAGCCCTGGGGAACACCATTGGTGACCAGCTGCCATCTGGTCATAACCCCATCTACCACCACTGTCTGAGCCCCAACACCCAGCAAGTTCCTACTCCAGCCAAGAGTACACCCATCCAAGCCAGGTGCATCTATTTTCTCCAGGAGAAGGCTGGAGGAAATGTGTCAAAGACTTTACTGAAGTTTAGATAGACAACAGCCACAACCTTTCTCTCATCCACTAAGTGTGTCATTTTGTCATAGAAGGAGATCAGGTCAGTCAAGCAGGACCAGCCTTTCATAAATGAATCCTGACTGGGTCTGATGCCCTGGTTATTGCACAAGTGTCATAAGATGGTACTTAAGATGATCTGCTCCATGGCCTTCCCCAGCACCAGGGTCAGGCTGAGAGGCCTGTAGTTCCCTGGATCCTCTTTCCAGCCCTTCTTGTAGCTGGGTGTCACAATTGCTGACCACCAGTGAACTGAGATCCCCCCAGTTAGCCAGGACTGCTGATAAATGACTGAAAGTGTCTCATTGAGCACTTCCACCAGCTCCCTCAGTACACTTGGGTGGATTCCATCTAGCCCTATAGACTTGTGTGTGTCCAAGTGGTGTAGCAGGTTGTTGACCATTTCCTCTTGGCTTACAGAGGTTTCACTCTGCTCCCCGTCCCTGTCTTTCAGCTTAGGGGGCTGAGTCCTCGGAGAACAACTAGTCTTACTATTAAAGACCAAGGCAAAGAAGACATTAAGTACCTCAGCCCTCTCTTCCTCCATCTGCCTGACTACTAATTTGCATACCTGTCTCAGCATGAAATTTTAAACACTTTTTATCACTCTCTTCCCTCTCCTGTCAAAAAAGCTTGTACATAGTTTTTCATGATATGCAAAAAGCATGAATTAAATTGTAGGGTAACCTTGGTCTGCTCCTCCAGCCACAGGTTCGGCCTTTATGGTGATACAGCGTTTCCCAGTATCAGGCTTTGTTTGCACTGATTCTCTGTGCAGGGATGCTTTGGTCCTGGGCTGTGGTTTTTCTGTCTAAACAATGCGGTAGTCTAAGACCTCAACTTCCTACTGCAGAAATGACATGTTTTTGTGGGTGCTAGTTTGTCTTCTTAGCAACAGCACTTGCAAGAAACAACAGAGATGGAGTGAGCTGAGAGGCTGTGCTGCTCTAGTGGCATTTACCTCTGAAAGATGGTTGATGAAGATGCATTGTAAAAAGTAATTTTGTGTAATAAGCACCAGTATAATGTTAGTTAAACCATAGGTACGATTGCCAATTCAATTCACAGATAATTTCTAGAGACCTCTAGTTTTTAAATTGAAATCTTAAGTTTTAGTGGTAGGTTTGAATTTGTCTAAGTAATTTGTCAGTCAAGTCAGTGGATATCTACCTAGAACAGTTCTTGGGTATGAAGTATGATGCAGAATTTAACATAGGGTCCATTTTTTTCTCTAAAATATTCTAACTACCAATGACTTTAGGATGCAACCCTTAAAAATTTTCTGGTTGTGAATTTCTGAGACTCTCATAAATTTTTTGCCTTGTAGAAAAAAACCCAAAACCGAAACAGAGCTGCTTACTAACTGGAATCTCCCACAGGACAGAATCCTTCAAGAGAATAGATGACTCTAAGATTAGAGCTACTCTTTTCTGTGCTGGGGAAATCTGGATATTGTAGCTTCAGTTACATACTGCTTGTAGCAGGCCACCATGTCATGGCTATTGGTCCCAGGAGGCTGGATCAGATAGAAGGGTGACTGCAGAGGAAACTTTATTTGCTTTTTCTCCTCTGATGCAACTTGCAGAAGTTGCCCTTTGCAGGTTGTATCTGATCAACATCTCTCATAATTTCAGAATAGAGGGTAAAACATGAGCTGCAAAACTCTCAGTTGACCTTGGGTAGCTTAGGTTGGCAGGAGGAACACTGTCCTGCTTGTGGGAAGCTTAGGTTTTGTTTATAATCTGTTCTGTGGTCATCTTGATAGTCAAAATTTGATTACTGTGAAGTGCATTTTCTATGAAGAAGATTGGCAGCAGATGCTGTACACTTTTCAGGGCAGCTTTCTAACATGAATTGCTGAAGTGATGGGCGCTCTGGTTATTATTTGCTTTACCTGAAAACTGTAAAATATTTAAGTGAAATTGTAAAAATAGTCAGAGAATATCGTCATCTCTATTGCACAGTTTCAGTGCTTCTAGCAGGAAATGTACAGTGTGTGACAAGTCAGCCCGGTAGCAGCTTTGTAAGTAGATCAATAGAACAGATTAGTTCAGTTTTTACAGAAGTAGCAAACACTAGAGAGATAGTGGGATCATGGTTTGTAAACCTTAAACCACACTTTCCTGCATAACAATCTGCAAAGATATTCTTTTCTGTAAAGCAGGTATGTGATTTTCAGCTGAGAGGAA